TAAAACCATAATAATTCTAGAAGAAAAAAAATCTAGAAAAAACTCTTCTGGATATTTGACCTAGGCAAAAAATTTGTGACTAAATCCTCAAAAGCAAATTGAAAATAAACAAAAATAGACAAATGAGAATTAAAGTTGATCCACAAGTAAATTAAAATATTCTGCACAGCAAAACACATATCAGAGTGAACAGATAACCTGAGGAATGAGAAAAATATTTGCAAACTATGTATTGGACAAAAAACAAATATCCAAAATCTACAGGTAACTCAAACAATTCAACAAGAAAATAACAAACCATTAAAAAAATGGACAAAGGACACAAAAAGATATGTTTCAAAAGAAGCATACATGGAGCCAACAAGCATATAAAAACTGCTGAAAATCACAAATCATCAGACAAATGCAAATTAATATCACAGTGAGATATCATATTACAGCAATCAAAACAGCTATTATTAAAAAGACAAAAAACAAATGTTGAAGATTAAGAGAAAATAAAATGCTTATATATTGCTGCTGGAAATGTAAATTTATATAATCTCTATTGAAAACAGTATAGAGATTTCCCAAAGGCCTAAGAATATAACCACCATTTATCCAGTAATCCCACTACTGGATATCTAACCCAAAGCAAAGAAATCATTATATCAAAAAGATAACTGTATTCAAATGTCTAGCACAGCACTATTTATAATAGCAAAGATATAAAATCAACATAAGTGTCCATTAACAGATAATTCAGTAAAGAAAATATGATATTTATATGTATATACTTATACCCCCCCCCATGGAATACTACTCAGCCATTAAAAATAAAAATCATGTCTTTTATAGCAGCCTGGATGGAACTGGAGGCCATTATCTTAAGTGGAATAACTCAGAAACAGAAATTCAAATACCACCTGTTCTCATTTGTAAGTGGGAGGTAAATAATTTGTACATGTGGTTATAGTAGAATAATAGACAAATAGACGATGGACACTCAGTGGGATTTAAGGATGAAAGGGGAGTAAGGGATCTAACAGGTATGATGGACACTATTTTGGTTATGGTTACACTAAGATCCATTTCATCACTATGAAGTATAACCACATAACAAAACTGTGGTTCTATTCCCTAAATCGATGAAAATAAAAAAAGAAAGAAATTTTTTAAAAGAAAAAGTAAAGAACTAAAAGAGAAAAAACTGCCAATCACTAATCTATTCCTTAAAATATGCACTGTTCAAATCAACATTATCTGCAGAAATTTATTCCTGGTAGAGTAGCAGTACAATTAGTATTAAAGGACTTAAAATTAAAGCACCCAAGAAAGAAGGCAAAAAGCAATGAGATTATTGTAACAGGTGACAATGACATAAGTTGCTTGACACTAGACTGTAATGGATTAGTACATTATAATCCTTAAAGCAATCTTTAAAAAAAATGAAATAGACAAAAATAGTGAATAGGTCCATAATAAAGATAAAAGTACCATTAAATACTCAATTACAATAATTCTAAAGAAGACATGAAAAGAGGGAAACAGAAACAAAGAAGAATTGAGAAACAGAAATCAAACAGTGATGTTTATACTAAACTTTAATGGTAATTATACTAAACAGTGATGTTTATACTAAACTTTAATAGTAATTAACTTGAATTAAAATTTGGTCGAGTCACTCAAATTAAAAAGCATATATTATCAGACTGTATGCAAAAATAAATCAAGAACTACGTGTTGTCTATAGGAAAGGCCCTTTAAAAATAAGGCCAGAGAGATTAAAAGTGAAATGATGGCAAAAGATATACCATGTAAGCGCTAACTATAAGAATGATTAGTAAAAGTAGACTACAGGATAGGAAATACTACCAGGTGGAAGAAAGATATTTATAAGAGGTCCCATTAATAAAACATACGTAACAATCCTTAATGTCTATGTGCATGGTCCTAATTGTAGAACTCCAAAATTTTTAAAGAAAAGATTGGCAGAAGCGAGAGTATACGATTCCTCAGTCCAGTTTACATACTTCAAGACATGTTTTTTAGTAATTGACCATAAAAGTAAACAGACAATTACTAAGGATATAAAAGATTTGGACAACATTCTCTACCAACTCCACACAATTGATATTTATCTAACACTCTCCTTGCACACCCAGATGAGCATATCATTATTTACATATGGCACACTTTTGAGTAGATTTAGAAACAAAAATCAGTAACTCAGTTTGAAGTATAAGTATTATATGCCAATGTCTATCAACAAAATGCAAATTCTGCAATTTTTCACTATCAGTCTTAGATCTTAATGTTCATAATGAAATATTAAAACTAATATAAGTTGAAATTCAAAAGAGTACTAGAATGGAAATTAGTCTAATATTCTATCAACTCCTTAAAAAGCATTGATAAAGTGTTTGTCCTGTCTAAATCTAAGAAAACTTGATAATTTCCTATACATTTTTCTAACTATTAGTTGCTCTCAAACAGCTGTTGGCATACGAATTATGGAAATATTTATGTAAGGCATTTAGATGTTCAATTTTTTTGTTTGCTCGCTTGTTTGTTTTTTCTGGTTTGATTCAGTGTATTCATTTCTTAAATTTCTCATGGACAAATAAGAGAGCCCATGGTTATTATTATTAGATTACACAAAGATAATTATTGATAATATAAGTACACTTAAAATTCTAGTGTGCTAAGCCACATTGAGTTAGTTGGCATGGATACTAACTAAATTAATCCTATTCAGAATGAAACAATAAACAAACAAAATAGATGTTCCCTAAAATATTGTATGAATCAAGCATTCATGTTCCCACCCTATGATTATAGTCAATAGGTAAATAAGGAATGGAAATTGCTTAGTGTTCTAGTTTTATGTAGTCATTATATGTATATATTCCTTTCTTCTCCTTATCAATTAAATCATAACATATTGGTTTTATATTTAAATATTTTAATGTCATATTATATGACAGTCTACAATCTAGTTCAAAATATTAAGTTGGTTAGTTGCAATGAAAACAAGTAAATAAACTTACCTCAATAGATATAGCTATATACGCACAAGCACACATACACACACATAACCTCTTTTTTTAAAAGGCTATTGAATAAAACATAGTATAATTTGAAAAGACGTTTGTGTCCATTAGTTTCCCTTTCACAGACATTTTACTTTTCATAGAACTATTTCAAGAGAAAAACGATGATCCAGTAGCTAAAAGAGGCTTATAACCCAATTCATATTCTTTCTCTCTCTTTCTCTTCCCTCTTCTTGCTCTCTCCCTTTCTGTCATATAACTAACCTAGCCATATAACTGGTCTTTGATTAGATAACTAATTATAACCTGCTTTGACCCAATATTTTCTCTGTAAAACAAATGATTCCACAGCAAAATAAATATCACTCAACTTTCCTAATGTCTATGTGAACAAATCAAATTACATAGACTTATTTTGTCAATTTGATTTTCATTACCTATTATTTAAATGAGAACTTAGAATTCATACTTGGAATATGGTAGGACAAAGACAACTAGCATTCTACATTTTGAAGAAAATGATTCTGTCAATTCAAATGTTAAACTAAACAATATGTCCTGTGGGGGTCTGGCACGTCTGCCGGGGGGCTTCCGACCAGCGGAGAGACTCAGCCCCACTCAAGTGTTCTTAACCTGGAAGAGGGAGTGCGTGGAAGAAAAGAAAGATAGAGAGTGGGGTCTGGAGGACTGCCAGGCAATGCCGGAGCAAGAAGTGCCAAGACAGCAAGTTTATTTGTGCAAACTACAGGTGATATACCTTTCAGTGCTTGAGGAGTGACATACATTCCATTGTATCTTGAAATAAAATCAAAAACAAAAAATCACAAGAAAAGGGGTACAGAAAGTATGACTCTTAATCAAAGGATGTCCAGCAAAGGGACAATAAAGTTTGCAAAAAGGGGGTCACAAATCTAAACATGTGTTTTTCTAAAATCAGTTAAGCAAGCAAGTAAGATTGTTAACAAGGTATAGCTGGACCTTTCCAAATGTCATTCTAACCTTGCCTATTCATATAGGATCATATGCAAACAATATGATGGAGTTAGCAGAGGTAAACAAAGTCATAGAGTTATTGTGTTTCCTCATAGAGACATTAGGAAAGTTGAGTGATATTTATTTTGCTGTGGTATCATTTGTTTTACAGAGAAAATATTGGGTCAAAGCAGATTACAATTGGTTATATAATCAAAGACCAGTTATATGGCTAGGTTAGAAGGAACTAGGAGGCACACAATGTCTAACCATACAATGTCTTGTTAGACCACAAGGCCTGAGCTCAGCCATTCTGTTGCAAATGTCGGAGGCAAAGATTAATGTTTATAAAATCAGTGCAACCAGACTTCCTCCTTTCTGTTAGTTCAACAGCCTCCAGGAGAGGAGAAATGTGTATGGGCTCAAGCTCAAGATGACGAGGGTCCTGTCAAGGGCCCTTCGCAGGAGCAATCCCCACAATGTCCCAGATGACTTTTGTTTCATTTCTTCTCTACCTTAGTAATAATAATGAAACTTGCAATTGGGTTGAGACAATGAAGCAGGGGAAAGATAAAGGAAAGGAAATAATTCCGGTTAATTTTACTCTTATTCCCAGGTAACTAACTAATTATTTTTATATGCAAAATAGGTTGCTTAAATTACTTTCATATTTCACATTTTTAAATAATTAGTTTAATTATAGACATTGGGATCAGTAAACTTAGTCACTATGAATTCTCAGCTTTGTAAGTGTGTTAGAAAGTTTTATCATAGTTCCTAAAACATTGCTATATTCAAATGAGGTGGTTTCATGATTACAGGAAATAGAAAAGACTATTTTTTAAAGAAATAAAGAAATTTAATTTTTATTAAGACATTCTATATAAGAAATATTTTAATGGTGATAAATACATCACTCTAGTTATTTAAATTCAAATTTATGGTATTACATTATAAACTGTAGCAGTTGATATGCATATGTTCTTTTGATTACAGGTAACGGAAAGATGATAAAGACAACATTGCAAAATGGTAAACATTCATTTGTCTGTAAATTTGAAACATTTATGTAAGGTATTCAATTTTTTGTTTGTTTGTTTCTTCTGGTCTTTGATTCAGTATAGATATTCAATTCTTAAGTTTCTCTGAGGTTGATCAAAAACCCATTAAAGAGATAGATCATAACTCGTATGAGAGATGGATCATATCACTATTGAAATTATTTATTGTGTGTTTCAATTGACATAATCAATAATAAGAAAAATATAAACATTATTATTTGTCAGAGGAGGCTCTAAACACCATATTACCCTAATTCTAATGCAGCATGATATATAGCTTTATTTCAATCATAGTCCAGAACCACACATGCTGTTTTAACATCTTCCAGATAGAGATTTATATGTTTTGAGTCTTACTTTATTTCTCTGATCTCTAATCACTTGTTAATCTCAGCATTGTGTGGCCTTAGCAAGTTTCATCAAATACTCCCTTGAATGGATGCATGCCTCTGAGTTGCCAGTAGTTAGTTAGACCTGCAAAAGTAAGTGAAGATATTTAAAAATAAATATCTAGCATTTATGTTTACATTTAATTTTGTAATTTAAATCATATTATTTATTATTTGTAGCCTAAAATAATTACTTTTTCACAAACATATCAGCACAGGAAAAAACGTTATCAATGGATCAGGGAAACGAACCGCCTTTTAATAAAGGTCTAGAAACTGATTTGGTCCAATTGTCATTTATGGCATTTACATTTCAATGATAAAATATTGAACAAAGAGATTAAATGTTTAAGGACAAAAAGACCACGAAACTCAAAGCGCATTTTAGTTTTAGTTATTTTGATTTATTTATGTGGGAAAGACTTGAAAATATCTGTGACACATTGATAATCTTTAGACTCAATTCACTGACCAGAATTGTAATCAAAATTTATAAAATAAAGGTGATAGCAAAGTTTGTACAAGAAACATAAGTAAATGTATGTACTTACTTACAATTTTTTAAAAAGTTCCTATGAATATCAAACTAATCTTGGCAAAAATGTTTAGTATGTCAATTAAATGAAGGCCTTACCTGTAATATTAAATGAAATGGCATATTTATGATAAAGAAGTTTTTGTCCACAAAGTAAAAGAAGATATTTTTGTGAAAGAAAATACCAATATCTAAATATTAGGACCTTTTACCAAAAACATAGAATTATAAAAAAATAAATACAGGTAATATTTTTATGTACAATTATGCTATAAAGTATATATTTGTAATTCAAAATTCAATCGTTCATAATTCATATTATATATTAAAGTTATAGAATAAATATGTATTTACACGAGTGTTTAAAATGCTTACATGCTAACACCTATTTATAAAAAAGACTTCTATCAATTTCAAGTTAACTTAGTATTATGTTTCCTAGCATTGGACCATTATAAAGAAATTTGAGATTTAATACAATCTCTTTGAAAGAAAGTTTGGTTCAAGACAATTACCAAGTATTCAGATCCAAACAAAAGTTAACAGTAATAATGCTGTGGCTTATCCAGTCTGCATTCTGTTACTCAATTTCAATTGAGCACCAACTTAGAGCAAGGATTATGTATGCAAATTCAGTAAGACAGTCAATTTATTTACCTGAGGGATATGGGAAATTAATTTCTTGATTCACAACTGTATTTTAAACTGCAGGCCAGAAAAGAATTATTTTACATGTGTGCATTTTCACCTTTGTCTTCAAATAAGTTTCCCAGTGGGGGTTCATATGAAAAATAACAACATTCAGTTGTACAGTTTATTTTTTGTTGTTTTGTTTGTTTTTAATTTTTGTGGTTACATATTAGGACTTGTACCTTTTTTGTTGTTGTTGTTCTGTTTTGTTTATTTTTAATTTTGTAGGTACATATAGGTGTGTATATTTATGTACATGTAAAGTTTCTTAACTATACTTATCAGCATAATCTGTTAGACTTTTATGTTCTTTATATGCAATATATTTCACCCATCCACTTTTGGCAAACATAAAATTCTTGCGTCTTCTGTTCAGTTCATTTAAAATTTCATAAAAGGTACACATTAAGACTAAAACAAATCAAATGATAGTAATTGAATGTATTTTTTAATCTTACAAAATTGAAAAAATTTTAAAGATTTGTTTTATTCCTTTCCCGAGATATTATTGCACTTAGCTAAAAATCATAAAAACAGTCACTCGAAAGAACAAAAGACAATAAAGAAGACACAAAGTTAGCTTTCAAATTAATACATTGAAATGTTAGAGTAAATAGACTTTTAAAAGTATATTATGGTAGAAAATTTTACTTAATAAAATAACTTTTAATAAGGAGTTGGTTCTTTTGTATATCTGTAACTTGCAGAAATCATTAATATTATTAAATACATGGGTTTTTTTTTATTTTAAAACACTCGTGGGTTGCTTCTCTGATGTAGAAGAACTTGTTGTTTTAAGATGAAAAAGGTACCACAGTTCATTTTTGCCTATGTGGTAATATAGTCGCAGGAATAAAAAAATTGAGAAGAAATTCGAGTTCTGTTCTAAAATATTCAAGCACAATGTCTTGTGAGCATAATTATTTTGAAAATTAGCTCAGTTCTTTTCACAGTCCATGCATGTAGACAGAGCTGGTAATGTAGATCACAATGGCACAAACTTTTGTGACAGCTGAGTTTAGCCTGCTTTGGAGCACTATCAAAGAAGAGGTATTAGTCTTTTGCAACAGCCTCTCCAATCCTTGAACATGTATTTCCTTTCTGCCTCTGCATTACTGAAGTCATTTCAATGCCAAGAAGCAGGAAAAAATATGACACAGCAGTAGAGGATGTCCTACCTAGTATAGATATTAATTCCCGCATAAGAACTGAGGAACTTCTAAGGCTAGCCTTGAAAAATTCCATACCCACAAATCTTCTTTTTCAACTTTTAAAAATTTAAACCATCCTTAGTGATGCAACGCACCACACTGCTATTTCTGAGAAGCCACCCTCAATAACTTAAAATGTTCACAGACCTTTCCTAAATGTTCATACACATAAACATATTAAAAATAATTAAACCACATTTTTGCCATAATATTTTTTAATTTCAAACCAAGAGTGGTACATGGTAAAATAATCTTTTACTCCTTAAATTCATAAAAATATCATAGTTAATTTTCTATTAATTTACTATGAGAAATTTAGAATTTGAAATACCAATCCCAAAATATGATAGGTAATTTTATTAGTGTATAGTTGTGAATATAGTTCAATTTTTGATTTTAATTTTTTATGCTTACTTCTTAAATAACTTAGCCAGTTATTATAAATTACATTAAACTCAGTAATTTATTTACAAAAAAAGAATATTGCTTTCTGACATTTTTATAATTTATAGGAAAGCCAGATTTCTGCTTTTTGGAAGAAGATCCTGGAATATGTCGAGGTTATATTACCAGGTATTTTTATAACAATCAAACAAAACAGTGTGAACGTTTCAAGTATGGTGGATGTCTGGGCAATATGAACAACTTTGAGACACTGGAAGAATGCAAGAACACCTGTGGAGACACTTGTAAGTTTATTTCTCGTTTCATTTTAGTTCTTTTATGGACCAAGGCATCTAAGATGATGTTCAAGTTTACTCTGGTTTTGTTTTAGCCATGCAAATTAAGATATATTTGTGTTCATTCAATCTGAGATTTGTGACTATATATATTTTTAGAAAGCATAGAAAATTTAAAAATTATTTTCAAAGCTCTAATACATTTTATGCTATGTTATTTAACTTTTCTTCCTGAAAATACTACAGTACAATTTTAGCAAAATATACTAAATTACTAAATATACAAAATATACAAAATATACTAAAAGACTAAAGTCTTTCACATTTTATGTTATGTTATTTAACTTTTCTTCCTGAAAATACTACAGTACAATTTTAGCAAAATATACTAAGTTACTAAATATACAAAATATACTAAAAGACTAAGGTCTTTCACATTTATACAAATATGAGAGCAAACAGTTATTGAATATCGCCCAAAATGAGTTTTATCTGCCTATAGCATTTATGGTTTTTTTGTTTGTTTGTTTGTTTTGTTTTGTTTTGTTTTGTTTTGTTTTGTTTTTGAGATGGAGTTTCACTCTTGTTACCCAGGCTGGAGTGCAATGGCGCCATCTCGGCTCACCGCAACCTCTGCCTCCTGGGTTCAGGCAATTCTCCTGCCTCAGCCTCCTGAGTAGCCGGGATTACAGGCATGAGCCACCATGCCCAGCTAATTTTTTGTATTTTTAGTAGAGACGGGGTTTCACCATGTTGACCAGGATGGTCTCGATCTGTTGACCTCGTGATCCACCCGCCTCGGCCTCCCAAAGTTCTGGGATTACAGGCGTGAGCCACCGCGCCCGGCCAGCATTTATTTAAGGGACGACTTAAACATCAACTGTTATGCTTTTTTGACAAAGAACTACTGTTACCCTTGGAAATATTATCATACAATATATTTAAAGATTCACTGTTTGCTAATTTGACATAGCAATGTGAATGAAATTGCCAGAAGTCTTTTTTAACATTGTGCTATGCATCATGAGTACAAATATGAGATTTTGACAATGTTTATCTGTTTTAATTGGCTGTATTTTTTTCCAGTGAGTGATTATGGAACTCAGGTCCATGCTGTGAATAACTCCCTGACTCCACAATCAACCAAGGCTCCCAGACTTTTAGGTAAGAATCTCCTGGATTTTATTGCTTCCAGGAAACTATTATCATGGTAACAATGAAGTAGATTATGTATTAGAAATATGTCTTTAAATATGTTTGTGTGGGGGGGGCAGGGGGTTACTTAATGAGTTTGTGGAAATACTGAGATTCAAATTGTTTAAGACATTTAATTCCATAAAAGCAACAATTTTCCTCATCTATCTTAAAGTATGCCTTGAAGTAAGCTTTTGATTATGTATCACATGAAAAACTTTCATATAATATTTAACTCTATGCCAAATTTATTTTGCAAAATAGTACTAGGAATTATCATCCTCAGTGTAAAATGGTAAATCATTGTACTGGCTGCAGAGCATTAAAGGCAATCTAAAGTACTTTTAAAGTCAGTATGGCACTAGGCAAGGTCTCTAGTGTTACTCATAGGGAAGATTAGAAATTAATTGAATAATCATACCTAAATGTTATGCCATTCTAGAGCGAATTATTTTTTTGAATTCTGCGGGACTCTTTTTTATGTTCTAGTCTGTTAACCTATTTATCAGATTTAAATGAACATACAGGACATATTTCCACAAAAATGCAGAGCTGAGAAAATAGTGAAAATACTGGGAAACACAATCAGAAATCACAAATATCTGGGTGGTTAGAAATAACATAGAAAGCTAAAAATTATCATTGTAAAATTATTAGATCCTAGATAAATTATAAAAATCATGTTCTTATTCAAATATTGAAGATTTTGCTTAGAAGCAGTCCATGTAAACATGTCAAGTGTAAACTTGGCTTATTTACATAGAAATTTAGTGTGAATGTAAGGAATTCTGTAACTATTAAAATTGCAATCTTAGGATTAAAATAATAATAATAATGAAACGCGGTGTCTGGGCCAGGAATTCTGTACCCTGGCCATTTATCAGAATTAGATTGACTTTGAGCTACTCTTTACAACAAACAAAGGAAAACTAAGCAAGCAAGCCAACAGAACGCAAACAAAACTGCCCCGGTGGATTTGACGTATTAAAATGTTGACTGAATTATCTAGAAACAGTCTGTGAATGTCAGCTGAGTCCCACAGTGATCTAATCATTTGCGCATCTTGCTTCAGCACTAAGGTCACACCTTGGAAATCACAAAGAGGATTTGAAACATGATTAAAGAGGAAATGGAAAGTGTAAAGAAACATGAGATCTATTAGGGAGCATAATATGTGCTTTTAATAATTGAAACACTATTATGTGAAAGAACGATTAAGTTCTGTACATGCCTTACCCTTCGGTCTTGCCTATTTTAGACCCTGCCCAGATCTTCATCTTTATCCTCCCTTATCCCCTTCAACCCAGTGTAATCATGAGGATTAATGTGTGAGGGCAAAGGTATAAATACCTTTCTATAATATGTTTCTTTCTTATGTGAGATCTTTAACAAATTGATGGCTCAGGGATTAATAAACTCACTAACTTGTAGGCATTCGATTAGTGTTCAATTAGCACTTAAGAGGTCATTAAGTAACTGCAAACTTTCAGTGGGAGTCGGAAAATACGATGCATTCAAGATGGCTTCAGGTTCTTAGATTCTGAAGTAGGTAGAGAAGTGAATTGAATGCTGGATGAACTTGAGTGTAATTTTTAAATACTACTTTGTAATAATTAATACCTTTGTGATTCTGATTTTTTATCTGAAAAATTAAGCACTCTTACGTATTGTTTATATTTCCAGCTTTATATTTTTCACTCATATTCTGTTTTACTCAGCTAAGTATGACATCTTCAAAAACACGTTAAATCTTAATTGCTGTAAAAGAAAATTTAGAATGATGAAATTATTAACAAGTTTAAATACACATGTCACATAGTATATCAAAAAGTACAAAAAATATAAAAAGCAGATTGCAAAATGTCTGAATAATTTTGTTTGAATTATTTTACCAATTTAAGTGGAGATCTGCAGTCATTTATCATCAAAGTGAATAGAATAGGTTAGGGAATAGTTTTGCCTTAAGTTTTTTGAAGTATAAAATTTATAATTTTTGGTAAGCATACTACCAAGTTAGAAAGAGCAAAATGAAAATAAGTGTGAGAAGGTAATATTAGTGAGTTTTAAATACCTTCTGACACGTGTCTTCTCTAGTTTTTCATGTAGATGCACATTGAAAATTAAAATGAAAAAATAAATGCTTGAAAAGTAAATTATTAACTAAGTAAACTAAGAATTTAACAATATTAATAATAAATTTTATTTAAAATAATAGACATTTAAGGAATAATATTTTCATAATAACTGCATTTAAAATTAGGGCAAATGTCCCCTTTATTTGTCTAGAAAACTGTTTTATTTTTTATTGGATATGTTGCCCTCAAAATCCACATTCCTCTAACCAATTTGACCCCTTTTCCTCTTTTACTAGGAGCTTAATGTCTTTCTTTATTTTTCTTTCTTTCTCTCCTTCTTTCCTTTTTTCCTTCCTTCCTTCCTTTCTTCTCTCCCTCCTTCCCTTCCTCCCCTTCCCTCTTTCTCTACCTTCCTCTTTCCCTTCCTTTCTCCCTTCCTCACTCCCTCCCTCTCTTCCTTTCTTCCTTCCTCCCTAATCTAAAACATGAAACAATGTTGCAGTAACTAGGAGACGTTTGATATTAAGGATGGCTTAATGTGGATCGTCAATGACGCTATGTCTCCATTCTTTTTAAAACCTGCATGATTTCTAATCTGCCCCAGCCAAGATGTAGAAGTGGGAATGCAGATGTCCCTGTACAGTCTAGAACCTAGATGACCCCCTTGTCACTTCTGTCTGAGGGGTTTGATGAGTTCTATAGACTCCTCTTAATTTATCCAATCAAATATAATTATATCTGTCACTGCTTGCAATTATATTATTACATTCTATTATAATTTAAGAGAATGAAATTCTTTGTTTACAGAAAACTTTGTTGTTCAAGGGTTTTATCAAATGTGCATGGCTGTCTGTGGATATCAGTTCATTTTGAAAAGCTGTAAATCCTTTAAAGTTTCAATTCAATGTACAAGAATGATAATCTGCCCCACAACATAAATGGAACAGCATTCTTTTAAAATTTTTTCCACTAAATAATAATCTTTAAGTAGTATATTTGAGTATTCTAAAATTCAATTCTCATTAAGTGAAATATTTATAAGTATAATTTTAGTGTTTTTCTTCATGATATTATAGAAACATTTTAGAAGTTTTGTTAAACATTATTAGAATATCATGTTTTAAAAATTGCTGTTTATTTTTAATTGGAATGTTGTAAGTGGCTTTCAGAATGTTTTTCCAGTAAGCTTTCTTGATTCAAGACACTTGAATACTTACTAAGCACAACTCAGTAATTAATTTTTCTTTGTATTTACATATTTTAATATTAACAAGTTATTTAGGTAATCTCAAAGACTGAGACTTACTCTTCCTTAAAGAGATTTTATGTAATGGTTTGTAGGCATATCCCTGAGTGTGAGTGCCTTAGTTCAGTTTAATTGGCTGTATTATGAGTATATCCACGTAGTTAAATGTGTGTTCTCTTCCATGTGTAAAAGAAATATTTCCCTGAATGTGTGCAATTCTGCACATAAACTCTATAATTGAAAATCATCACAATTGGTTCCTCTTGGTTTACCTGATGATTGAAATAATGATACAGCAGATAAAAAACCTTTGAGCCTGAGGGCATGTGTTAAATTCCCAGCTCTTCAATTAATAGCTGTTTGACCCTAAGATATGTCTTGACCTCTCTGAATTTCATCTTCCCAATGTAAAATGAGGATAGTAATACTATAGTACTAACCTGATAAGTTGTGTTATGAGGTTAAATCAATTAAAATACATAACTTTCTTAGGACAGTACCTGGTATCTAATCAGTTAGTGTAGGTTTGCTCATTATTATCATCCATGTGATTCAGAACAATACACTTAACTCACCAGGCTTTAGTTTCTCATTTGTAAAACAACTCCTTTGTAAGTTCCCATTTGCAGAATAAATTTCTATTTCAGACAGTCATAAAGTCTCTGGTTATTCAGATAAATGCATCAGTAAACATACAGTCGCGAAATCATGGCTAATATTTTCAGAAGAATTCATACTAGAACTAAATTAATGCATATATGGAAACTCAAAGAGTTTGAATGTGTTTATTAGAAACAGTTGAGACTATTGGCACAGAGAAGTATCACGGGGCTTCAAGGTCAAAAGATGTTTATTTGTATAATTGTTCCTTATCTTTTCGACACCTCCAACTTTCCAAACTTTTTGAGTTATGTCACTGTTTTTCTAATTGTTCCAATTTGAACGATTAGTAATTTTCTTTGTATCACTTCTTTTCTTCCTGCCATTCATTAAATTTCATTGCTTTTAATGAAACATTTATTTTTGTCTCTTCCATTTTCACTCCTATTCATTGTGTTCAGATCATCAGCCTTTCACGGTTAGATTTCCTAAACAATCATATGTCATCCAATTTGGAACACTAATGATAGTTAAAGAAAGTGCTAAAAAAGTAAGATATATGTTTATTTTAAATATAGACATTACTGAAACAATGTTGCAGTAACTAGGAGACATTTGATATTATGCATTGACATAAAATTGGAATTGTCATTTTGGTGACTCTACAAAAATAGTTGTATATTTAAAAGTATTTCATTTTTTTTAAATTACATATATATATATATATATATATATAGAAACATAATATTCTCCCAAAATAAGCATAAACTAATAGGGGCTTAGGCAAAACAGGCTGTATAGACATGAGACAAACAGATAAATAAATAGATATCAGAACGCTCAGATATAACTCAGATATATTTTTATATATATTACAAATAATGTAATCATATATCTAACATAAGTAAACTAAAGCATATTAGAGAGAAAAAGGAACAGTCATATGTAACAAATTATATATGACATTTTTAACATCACTGTCCTGTTTCTATTCATCTATCACGTGGTAATTAACTTCATCTATTTGCATAAAATTTGTCTGCATCATC